CGTGCCCTTTTGTCCATTCAGAGGCCTGGTTATTCTTGTCCCTTTGTTATCAAAATCCCTAATCCTGTCTGTAACAAAGGCGTTCCGCTGTTCCCACACCCCGTGCCACCCTGTCCATTCAGATGTCGGAATGCTCCTGTCCCGTTGTTATTTGGATCCGTAATCTCAACTTTATAACAAAAGGCATTCGGATGCTTCCGCACCCGTGCCGCCCTGTCCATTCAGAGGCCTGGCTATTCTTGTCCCTTTGTTATCTAGATCCCTAATCCTAACAAAGGCATTCCGATCCGTACTCGTGCTTGTGTGTGTGCGGTTTCACTCGCGGTGGCTCAACGGCCTCTGCTGTGACCACGTAACTTTAATATCAGGTCACGGCGCTGCGGTGCATGTCAGCCTCGGGGGTAGATCGCCCAATTGCCTGCCCGCAGGAAACCATGAAACTTGATCCCATTAGGGGCTTCTGGATAAAAACCTGTCGGCCAGGTGACCTTCCCTCCCGGCTCTACGTGGGGTATGCGTGCATTCATGTGGGGCGGGGGGGGAAGGGGCGGCGAGAGGCGCGCCGCGTCGGCGCTGTCACTCCCCGGTGGCGGTGTCACGGCGGTGGGCACGGCCCCAACGGAGCGGCTCCGCTGCGGCGGCACCACATTCTCTGTGGCTGTGTGCAAGTATTCGTCTCTAAGTGTCTGTCTGAGTGTCTCTGTGTATCTGAGTGTCTGTACTTGTGACTGTTTATGTGTGTGATGATGATGTTGTTTAAGACAGTGTGTACACGCACATATGTATGTTGTTCTTGTGATTATTGTGCAGCTATGACTGTTTATGGGACCCTGGAATACTTGGCTCCGGAACTGTTGCTGGGCTATAGTTTGACCTGTGGAGAGGATATGTGGGCACTGGGCTGCACGGTGGCGGAGTTGGCAACGGGTAGGGAATTTTTCCGGTCCGACAGCCACGTGATCCCCCTCTCTTTCCTTGGAGTCGTGGGCCATGGGGGGGGCGGGGGGGGGCAGGAGGGTGGGTGGCCACTTTGTGATCTGTGAATAATGGCCGTCGTATGTTGCGTGTGGTTGTGTGTACACGTGTGCATCTTGTATGTGTGGGGGAGCGGTAGTTTAGCGGTTAGCCTGCTGTGCTAGAAACTGAGTTCGAGTCCAGCTCATGGCCAACACCAGTGACGATGATCTGAAGTGGTCCTGGGCCTCCCCTAGTTCGAGTCAGTCTCAACTGAGTACCTGGTGGAGTGTGTAAAGTACCTTGGTCAACGTGGCCCTCCACCCCTGTCTTTGTGTGCTGCAGCTTTTGCTATTCAATACTAACAGCACTTGCCCCATACAGTGTGCCGAAGCTGTACGGGGTCTTCATATCAACCGTGTGCAGATTCTGGGGATGCCTCCAAGGTGCATGGTGGATGCAGCTCCCGACAGAACGCAGTTCTTTGGTGAGTTGAAGGGTGGGGTGAGTGACGGACCGGATTCTGTTTTAGGGAGTGGCCTCGGGCTGTTATATTTTTTTGGAGGGAGCCTCTTTGTATTTTAAATTATTTGGGTGTGTGGGTGGGTAAATTAGTATGTGGGAAAGTGGGTGGTTATGTGGGTGAGTAGGCGAATAGGTTGGTGAGTGGGTGGGTCGGTGTGTGGATAGGCGGATAGGTGAGTGATTGGGTAGGTGGAAGAGTGGATGGGTGGGTGGGTAATGTGAATGCGTGGGTTGATGGATCGGTTAGTAAGTGGGTAGGTGGGTGACGTGGTGGTTGGTGACTTGGTCTCTCCCGCTGTGCATGGCTCCTGCAGACCATCGGGGGAAGATGTTCTGCCCAGGCAAGAAAAGGGTGCCGGGGTGCTTCCCACTTCACAGGGTGCTCAAAAGCGATGACCCGGAGTTTGTCGAATTCACCAGCTCCTGGCTGCAGTAAGAACCACCTACCACTCCCACCACCTCCCCACGAAGTTTGCTCCCCTCCATGTGATCGCGACTGCTCTCCATCGATCACCAGGAAGATGTGGAGCCGAGTGGACCTGCCAATAAGCGGTACCACCGGCGTGAAGTTAGCCCTCTGTGGAGGAGTGGGAGGTCTGTGCAAGACGCTGCTGGGCATCAGAGGAATGCCACTGCTACTGCTGCTTCCCCTGCTGCTGTGCGTTCCTGGACCTCTTGGGAGAAAGGAACATTAAAGCTCTCGCCATGACTCTCTAACCACGTGGCTGCGTGTGTCCCCCATGCGTATCTCAACAGATGGGATCCGAATTGTCGCATGACGCCAGCGCAGGTGCTGGCTCATAGCTGGCTCGGGACCGTGGCCACCAGCACCACCACCAGCAAAGCCACCACCACCACCACTGCTGCTGCTGGCAGTGTGAAGAGCTCTGGAGCTGCTGAGCCACGGAAAGCCACTACCTGCTTGTCTCGTGGTCAAGGAAGTCTATAGGGGCGTGCGGGGGCCTGGGGCTAATCACAACGTGTGGGCCTTCGAATCGCGGATAAATCCTCTTTCTGTCTTAATTAGAATGATGCATGTGATGTCATTACTTGTGAGACATTCCGGTGCGATAGCCTACGTGTTAAACGGAAGTAATGTCTGACACTGTGACACCGAAGCGCAGGGCCCCCCAAAGCATGGGGCCCGGTGTAGTCGCCCCCATACACCGTACCTGGTGAACGACTCTGCTCCTGTGTGTGTGTTTAGTATCGATTTCTTTTTATGACTACGACTACGCTTATTTAGCCAGCACGAGCCTCACTCAGTCTCAAGACTCTTTTTCAGGAGGGTCCTGCCAAGTTGTTTGCAGTACAGAACAAATTTACTGCTACTGCTGCTGTGTGATCCGAATTGAGTGATTTGAAGATTCAATTTGCAACACTGGTGGGGATGTCCATCCAACACTTGTTGCACAGCGTGTGTGTGAGGCTTCCATTGCCAAACCCAAAGGAATGGAAGTGAAATTTTAATGTGCAATTTTATTGATGGACTTTGTGTTGTCTTGGTGTGGTCTGGGGCAGTTTATTATTCTGTTTTTTTTGCCTTGCCCAAGCTTGCATTGAGTATTGAAAAACTGACAGGTTTTGATTTATACAATTTGTATTTATATGCTTTATTTTTTGCGTGACTTCCTTACACTTTGCACTTCTTTTGGTTTTGTTTTGTTGTTGTAATCTGCTCAACACCCACTCACCAATCACTCTCACGCCCACCCACCATTCTCACGAATCACTCACTCGCACCCACTCACCACTAATTCACGACTCTCATGCCCACCCACTAACCCTCACACTCACCCACACCCACCCACCACTCACTCTAACACTCTCCCACCCACCCACTCTCACGCCCACCTACTCACACGCCCGCCTACTCGCTCACCACTCACTCTCACACCCAGCCACCAAACACTCATCACTCATTCTCCCACCCACCCACTCTCACGCCCACCTACTCACACGCCCGCCTACTCGCTCACCACTCACTCTCACACCCAGCCACCAAACACTCACCACTCACTCTCACACCCAGCCACCAAATACTCACCACTCATTCTTACACCCACCCGCCACTCATCCTCACACACACTCAACACTCATTCTCACACCCACCCGGTGTTTGCGGTCGCGTGCGTATTTACCGAGCGCGTTTTACGCAGGGGGTTTACGTGGCGGCGATCGCATTAAGGGTTCGGCGTGGTGCGTAATTCTGGCGTGTGTGCAAGTAAGGCTGCGCTGCGCACTAACTCATTACCTGCGCCAGCGCTCGCGCAGCAGCCGCGCTATTTTTAGCGCGTGCACGTGGTGGGCAGCAGGTCCGGTTGTGCGCGCGCCCGCAGCCCCCGCAGCGTGAGTGGTGGTTTACGTGGGGGGTGGGAGGCAGAATAACGTGAGGCGGTGGAGAGCCAGCAACGAGCCATGTCCCACAGAGAGGATGCTGGTGCGGGGAGGCCGATGACTCGATCGGCGGCAGCCCGGCGTAAAGGAGAGGAGGTCCAAGGGGGAGAGGAGGAGGGGGGCATCAGCCCTCAAACACCATCTAGCCATTTCTAGCGTATATACGGTGCTAAGCCGCCATCTTGTGTGGGGAAGGCGCCCAACCACCAGGCGGCCACCCACCATTATTTCACGTGGAAGGCGTACAACCGCCATCTTACGTAGGAAAGGCGCACAAACGCCCTCTTAGGTAAGGAAGACGGCAAACCGCCATTGTGCGTGGGGAAGGTGCCCAATCGCCATTTTACGTTGGGAAGATGGCCAACCGCCATCTTAGGTAGGGACTTTGCCCAACCACCATCTTCTGTGGGGAAGCCGCACAACCGCCATTTTACGTGGGGAAGCCGCCCAACCGCCATTATGCCCACCCTAGCTGGGCATTATGAACCCACCCTTCCTGACCATTATAACCCACCTTACCTGGCCATTATAACCCCACTCTACCTGGCTATTATGAACCCACCCTGGCTGGGCATTATGACCCCACCCTACCTGGCCATTATAACCCCACCCTTCCTGACCATTAAAACCCACCTTACCTGGCCATTATAACCCCACCCTACCTGGACATTATGAACCCAGACCCCCACACGGCACTGACGATCGAAGGCACCAAACCCCACGAAAAAAATCGTCTGCAACGTTTTTCACATACTGGTGACTTCATATATAATTATAACAATCATATTTACAATAATAATATACAAAACTACACACGTACAATGCTATTTTAACACACACCACGTGTTAGGGTTGTAGCCTGAGATAAGGGGGGCCCTGGGTAAGCTACTGGTGAGTGTGTGGTGGGGTGAGCGTGTGGTGAGTGCAGTGAGTGGCTGTGTCCAGTCCATGTCTGGCGGCCGCTCTTCAGTCGTCTTCCACAGCTGGTCTCCACGATAGTGAGTGTGGTGAGTGGGTGTGTGTGTGGGGTGAGTGAGTGTGGGTGGCTGGGTGTGTGTGGGGTGACTTTGTGTGTGTGGGTGGTGCGGTGCTGCTGCTCGTGGTGGTGGTGGTTGGCACCGACTCCACCACCACCACCACCCCCCCGCTACTCTGCCGTGGGCTGCCCACCACACAGCAGCAGGCGGCGGAAGATCGAGGAGAGCGCCCTGCCCATATGGGCCAGACCCCTTTGCTTCTTTTTCTTCTTCTTCTCCTGCTGCTGTTGCACCTCCTCCTCTTCCATCTGCTCATCCTCTTCTGTCTTCTCGTCCACTTCCATCTGCTCCTCGTCTTCTGTCTTCTCCTCCACTTCCATCTTCTCCTCTTCCTCTGTCTCATCCTCCTCCTCCGTCTGATCCTCGTTCTCCTCCTCCTCCACCTCCTCTGTCTCATCCTCATCCAGCGATGATGACAAGGATGATGATGATGGGGGCTTTTTCTCCGACTCAGCTCTGTGGAGAGAGAGGCAGCAGCACCACAGCAGCGCATCATCATAATCATCGTCATGCTGGTACTACAGCCAGAGGTCGCGATCGGTCCCCACGGCCAGAAGTGGACCTGGCCATCACAAATGAAAGCAGCTCAACCAAGTGGCTGATGTCATCATCATCATCGTCACATGGGGATTCATAGCGGCAGCCCAAATACTAAATTCATATAGATGCATCGAGACCCATACTCATAGAGATCCATACAGACTCACAACGACCCATACTCAGAGACCCTGCACTGAGCATACAGAGGGAGTCTCACCGTAGATCCGCAGCTCCAAAGGCCTCGCTGGTGATGGTGGTGGCCTCGATGGTGGTGGGGGTGGCCTCGGTGGTGGCGGGTGTGGCCTCGCTGGTGATGGGGGTGGCCTCGCTGGTGATGGGGGTGGCCTCGATGGTGGTGGCCTCGCTGGAGGCGGTTGTGGCCTCGCTGGTGGCGGTTGTGGCCTCGCTGGTGGCAGTTGTGGCCTCGCTGGTGATGGGGGTGGCCTCGATGGTGGTGGGGGTGGCCTCGATGGTGGTGGGGGTGGCCTCGATGGTGGTGGGGGTGGCCTCGACGGTGGTGGGGTGGCCTCGACGGTGGTGGGGGTGGCCTCGACGGTGGTGGGGGTGGCCTCGACGGTGGTGGGGGTGGCCTCGATGGTGGTGGGGGTGGCCTCGATGGTGGTGGGGGTGGCCTCGATGGTGGTGGGGGTGGCCTCGATGGTGGTGGGGGTGGCCTCGATGGTGGTGGGGGTGGCCTCGATGGTGGTGGGGGTGGCCTCGATGGTGGTGGGGGTGGCCTCGATGGTGGTGGGGGTGGCCTCGATGGTGGTGGGGGTGGCCTCGATGGTGGTGGGGGTGGCCTCGATGGTGGTGGGGGTGGCCTCGATGGTGGTGGGGGTGGCCTCGATGGTGGTGGGGGTGGCCTCGATGGTGGTGGGGGTGGCCTCGATGGTGGTGGGGGTGGCCTCGATGGTGGTGGGGGTGACCTCGATGGTGGTGGGGGTGGCCTCGATGGTGGTGGGGGTGGCCTCGATGGTGGTGGGGGTGGCCTCGATGGTGGTGGGGGTGGCCTCGATGGTGGTGGGGGTGGCCTCGATGGTGGTGGGGGTGGCCTCGATGGTGGTGGGGGTGGCCTCGATGGTGGTGGGGGTGGCCTCGATGGTGGTGGGGGTGGCCTCGATGGTGGTGGGGTGGCCTCGATGGTGGTGGGGTGGCCTCGATGGTGGTGGGGGTGGCCTCGATGGTGGTGGGGGTGGCCTCGATGGTGGTGGGGGTGACCTCGATGGTGGTGGGGGTGGCCTCGATGGTGGTGGGGGTGGCCTCGATGGTGGTGGGGGTGGCCTCAATGGTGGTGGGGGTGGCCTCGATGGTGGTGGCCTCGATGGTGGTGTTGGCCTCGATGGTGGTGTTGGCCTCGATGGTGGTGGGGGTGGCCTCGATGGTGGTGGGGGTGGCCTCCATGGTGGTGGGGGTGGCCTTCATGGTGGTGGGGGTGGCCTCCATGGTGGTGGAGGTGGCCTCGATGGTGGTGGGGGTGGCCTCAATGGTGGTGGGGGTGGCCTCCATGGTGGTGGGGGTGGCCTCCATGGTGGTTGGGGTGGCCTCCATGGTGGTGGGAGTGGCCTCGATGGTGGTGGGGGTGGACTCGATGGTGGTGGGGGTGGCCTCGATGGTGGTGGGGGTGGCCTCGATGGTGGTGGTCTCGTTCTGGAGCCAGCCGTGACTCAGCGCCTGCTCCGGTGTCATGCGGAGTTCTGGATCCCACCTGGGGGGGCGGGGGGGATGGAGACAGGGGAGGTGAGGATTTGACGTTCCCATCTGTACGTGTGTGTGTACGTGTGTGTGTGTAATGGACAGCGGTGGTGTTATGAACCCGGCAGAAACCCGAGTTAGATTCCTGCACACGGCCAACACCAGTGACAGCGATTATATTATCTGAACTGGTCCTAGGCCTCCCCTAGGTCGACTCAGCCTCAAATGAGTACCTAGTGTAAACATCGCCACTGGGGAGACAAAGGTGGCCGGACGTGGTGGTGCTAGCCACCCACCTCCTCTGTGTGTGCCACAGTGCCGGAGGCCTTCATAGGCGGTGCTGCTACTCGCTACTATTAACAGCACTTGCCCCTACAGTCGGCTTGAGGCTACACGGGCGGTATGTGTCTGTGTTCTTACTGCAGGCAGCTGCTAATGAAGGCCACAAGCTGAGCTCCACATCCCCGCAGCACCAAATGCAGGGGGACACTTGCCGGGAGTCGTTTCCTGGCCGGGCAGTGAGGCTGTCCGGCCTCGTCTGTAGGACAGAGACAGAGAGAGATATACATACACACAGAGAGGGAGATAGAGACAGAGAGATACACAGAGAGACAAAGAAAGAGGAAGAGAGACAGAGAGAGAGACACATACACAGACAGAGAGATGGAAAGAGAGACACACAGAGAGAGGCACGCACAGTGTCACCAACCACCCACCCACCTACCCACCCACTCACCACCACACCGCTACCCCTACAACACTACCACCTCACCACCACACCACCTCCACTACCACCTCTACGCCACCACCAAAGCACGACCACCACCTCACCACCACACCACCACCACCTGACCACACCACCACTACCACCATACCACCACACCGCTACCCCTAGAACACCACCACACCACCACCATCGCCACCACCAACGCCTCACCACCACTACCTCACCACTACCTCACCACAACCACACCACAACCACACCACCACCTCACCACCACACCACCACCACCTCACCACCACACCGCTACCCCTACAACACCACCTCACCACCACCACCACACCACCACTATCCATTGCCATACCACCACCTCACCAACACCACCACACCACCTCCACTACCCCATCTACACCACCATACCACCACCACCTCACCACCACCACCACCACACCATCACCACCTCACCACCACACCGCTAGCCCTATACCACCACCACATGACCACTACTTCACCACCATTATTGCCACCTCTACACCACCACACCACCACTACCACCATACCACCACACTGCCACCACCACACCACCACTATCGCCACCACTAACACCTCACCACCACTACACCTCACCACCACCACACCACCACCTCACCACTATCCACTGCCACACAACCACCACACCACCACCTCACCACCACCTCACCACCACACCACCTCCACTACCACCTCTACACCACCACCACCACCACCTCACCACCACCACCTCACCACCACCACCTCACCACCACCACCACCACCACATCATCACCACCTCACCACCACACCGCTAGCGTTACACCACCACCTCACCACCACCACCTCACCAGCACTTCACCACCACCACACCACCATCACACCACCCTTCAACTCACCAAAGTATGCCGCTCTTTTGCGAGCTTTCTCCACCATTTCTTTTGGAGGCATGCCCAGGATCTGCGCAACCATTTCAAGACAGACACACAGAGGGACACACGCATGTTACACGAATGTTACACGCGTGTTACACACGGGGACCCATACAGAGACCCATAGAGATCCAGAGACTTATATAAAACCATAGGGACTCACAGAGACCCATATGGATCCACAGAGACCCATAGAGAGACCCATACGGACCGACAGAGACCCATACATAGACCCATAGAGGTCCAGAGACTCATATAAAACCATTGAGACTCAGAGGCCCACACTAAAACTGAATATTTCACCAGGGAAGGCCCCACTGAGCTACGTGGCTGTTTTTCATTGGCTGTACGACGAAAGACCTGAACGTGACATTATCGTTGTTGCTCAGCGCATCTAGCATCATGGGTGAGTAGGTGGGTGGGGGGAGGGTGAGTGGGTGGGTTAGTGGATAGGTAGGTGGGTGGGTGAGTGGGTAGGTAGGTGAGTGGGTGAATGGGTGGGTAGGTTGGTGGGTAAGTGGGTGGGTGAGTGGGTGAATGGGTGAGTGGATGGGTGAGTGGGTGAGTGGATGGGTGGATAGGTCGGTGGGTGTGTAGGTGGGTGGGTTACTGGGTGGGTAGGTGGGTGAGTCAGTGAGTAGGTGGGTGGGTGAGGGGGTAGGTGGGTGGGTGAGGGGGTGGGCGAGTGGGTGGGTAGGTGGATGAGTGAGTGGGTGGGTAGGTAGGTAGGTGGGTGAGTGGGTGGTTACGTGGGTGTGTAGGTAGGTGGGTGGCTGGGTAAGTAGGTGGGTGAGTGGGCAGGTAAGTAGGTAGATGGGTGGGTGGGTAAATGTGTAGGTGAGTGAGAGGATGCGTAGGTAGGTGGGTGGGTAGGTGAGTGGGTGGGTGGTTGGGTGGCTGGTTGGGTGACTGGCTGACAGGGTTGGGTGACTGAGTGACTGGCTGGGTGACTGGCTGGCTGTGGGCCAGGTCGTCGCTCGAGGCCCCCCAGGGAGGCTCCCCAGTCACCTCGATGCAGCATGCCAGGTGGTCGTCGCGGCTGAACGAGAGGAAGAGTTCCCTGTCGGTGGCCAGCTTGGCGACGGTGCAGCCCAGCGACCATGTGTCCACAGCGCAGGTCGCCGGGTAGCCGAGAAGCACCTCGGGGGCCACGTAGGCGAGGGTTCCTCCCACGTGCGAGGCTGTGCAGACGACAACAGCAGCGATGATGATGAAGATTGTAGACTAGGTACGTGTGTGTAGGTGGGTGGGTGGGTTGGGTGGCTGGGTTGGGTGGCTGGGTTGGGTGGCTGGGTTTGGTGGCTGGGGCGGTGGCTGGGTGGGTGGGGGGTGGATGGTTGGGCGGGTGAGTGGGTGGATGGCTGGCTGGGTGGATGGGTGAGTGGGTGGATGGCTGGGTGGGTGGATGGATAGATGGATGGGTGAGTGGGTGGGCAGGTGGGTGAGTGGGTGGGTGGGTGGATTCATGGGTGGGTGACTGGATGGGCAGGTCAGTGGGTGAGTGGGTAGGTGGCTGGATGGGTCGGTGGCTGGATGGGTCGGTGGGTGGGTGGGTGCATAGATGGATGGGTGGGTGGGTCAGTGGCTGGGCGGGTGGGTGGATGGCTGGGTGGGTGAGTGGGTGAGTGGGTGGGTGAGTGGGTGGGTGAGTGGGTGGATATCCGGCTGGGTGGGTGGATGGGTGGGTGGGTGGCTTGATGGCTGGGTGGGTAAATGGCTGGGTGGGTGGGTATATAGATGGATGGGTGGTTGAGTGGGTGTATGGGTGTATGGGTGGATGGGTGTGTGGGTGGGTCGCTGGATGGGGGGGGTCGGTGGGTGGGTGGGTGGATGGGTGGGTGGATGGGCGGGTGGGTGAGTGGGTGGGTGGGTAATTGGGTGGATGGCTGGCTGGCTGGCTGGGTGAGTGGGTGGGTGGGTGAGTGGGTGGATGGCTGGCTGGGTGGATGGGTGAGTAGGTCGCTGGATGGCTGAGTGGGTGGGTGGATGGCCGGGTGGGTGGTTGGGTGAGTGGGTGGCTGGATGGCTGGGTGGAGGGGTGGATGGGTGGGTAGATGGATGGCTGGGTGGGTGGGTGGATGGCTGGGTGGGTGGATGTATGGATAGATGGATGGGTGGGTGGGTGGGTGAGTGGGTGGGTGGGTGAGTGGGTGGGTGGGTGAGTGGGTGGGTGGGTGAGTGGGTGGCTGGGTAGCTGAATCAGTGGGTGGGTGGGTGAGTGGGTGGATGGCTCTCTGGGTGGGTGCGTGGATCGCTCGGTGAGTGGGCAGGTGAGTTGGTGGCTGGATGGCTGGGTGGGTGGGTGTCTGGATGACTGGGTGGGTGGATGGATGGGTGGGTGAATGGCTGTGTGGGTGGGTGCATGGATGGATAGATGGATGGATAGATGGATGGGTGGGTGGGTGGGAGAGTGGGTGGGTGGGTGGGTGGATGGGTCGGTGGGTTGATGGGTTGATGGGTTGATGGGTGGATGGGTGAATGGATGTGTGGGTGGGTGGGTGAGCGGGTGGGTGGATGGGCTAGTGGGTGGATGGGTGGGTGGGTGGGTGGATGGGTGGTGGGTGAGTGGGTGGCTGGATGGCTGGGTGGGTAGATGGATGGGTGGATGGCTGGGTGGGTGGGTAGGTGCATGGATGGATATATGGATGGGTGGGTGAGTGGGTGGGTGGATGGGTCAGTGGCTGGGTGGATGAATGGGTAGGTGGGTGGATGGGTGGGTGGATGGGTGGGTGGATGGATGGGTGGGTGGGTGGATGGGTCAGTGGGTGGGTGGATGGGTGGGTGGATTGATGGGGGGGTCGGTGGGTGGCTTGATGGGTGGGGGAATGGATGGGTTGATGGCGAATGGATGTGTAGGTCGGTGGATGGGTGGGTAGATGGGTGTGTGGGGGTGTCAGTGGGTGGATAGGTGGGTGTGTGTGGGTGTCTCCACTCACTTTTGCCATCCACAAAGAAGCTTGAGGCGAAGTTCCTGACCCTGACGATGCCATCCGCGATGTTCGCCAACAGAACGTTGCTCTGGATGGGGAGTGAGCCGCAGGGAGGGAATTCACACCCAGCATGGTCAAGGCGGTGAGCGTCGTTTACGACCGAGCGTCTGTGCAGGGGGACTGCCTCCGCTCACAGACGTTCAACTTACGAAGTTTCAGAGATATGTGCAAAAAAACAGTGACATCTACATCTGCAGAACGTGAAGAACCTGTGGCATCTACATCAACAGAACATGAACAACCTGTGGCACCTACAGAACGGGAAGAACCAGTGGGATCTACAGAGCATGAAGAACCAGTGACATCTTCATCTACATAACGTGACGGAACAGTGGCATCTATATTTACAGAACGTGAGGAACCAGTGGCATCTACATCTACAGAACGTGAAGAACCAGTGGTATCTACATCTGCAGAACGTGAAGAGCCAGTGGCATCTACATCTGCAGAACGTGAAGAACCAGTGGCATCTACATCCGCAGAACATGAGGAACTATTTGCATCTACATCTACATCTGCAGAACATGAAGAACGAGTGGCATCTACATCTGCAGAACGTGAAGAACGAGTGACATCTGCATCTGCAGAACGTAAAAACCAGTGGCATCTACATCTACAGGACGTGAAATACCAGTGCCATCTACATCTACAGGACGTTAAGACATAGTGGCATCTACATTTGCAGAACGTGAAGAACCAGTGGTATCTACATCTGCAGAACATGAAGAACACCAGTGACATCTACATCTGCAGAACATGAATAATCAGTGGCATTTACATCTGCAGAGCGAGCACCAGCGCCCCAGCGTGTACAACAACCGCCATTCGCCACTAAGTGGCGGTGACGTCACCACGACGCTTGTGCCAGGCCATGTGCACCTTGAGGCTACGTGAAGTGTCGAACGCCCGCTGGCAGGAGGTCACGGGGCAGACCCAAGTGCCACGGGTCGACTGACTCAGATGACTGGCTGATGCACCACCTGTGCCCCCTACTGTGCCAACCTTCTGTGCTTTAGCCACCCGGTGCTCAGCTCGTTGTTGTGAGCGTCGCCCCTCCATCCTCCGTTGTTGTTGGAGGGCAACTGCCTCCAACTGCCCAGCAGCGTCCTTCACGAGCCTCCTCCACAGAGGCCGATCTTGACACCACTGGTACCAGTCATCGGCAAGTCCACTTAGCTCCACGTCCTTCTGTGCCACATCACTCCATCTCTTCTCTAGCCCGTGCCGTGCCCATTTAGCTCCCTCGATCCGGCCGAACAAAAGCTGTTTCGGCATGCGGTGGCTGGGCATGCAGGCTACATGACCCAGCCAACGCAGCCTTGCCTGCCGGAGGAGCTCACCGATGGAACCGTGCCCAGATCTTTCAAAGATTTGTGAGCTCCTCACACAATCCAGCAGGTTAAACCCAGGATGGATCGTAGGCAGGCTAGCCTATATGTTTCTAACCCGCAAAGATGTTCCATTAGGGGGGTCCACGTTTCGCAAGCGTAGAGAAGGGAGGGAATAACCGTGGCCGAGAAGACCTGAAGCTTAGTGCGGAGCGACAGACCAGGTAGCTTCCACACAGCGTTACGCAACCGATGAAAAGATATTGCCACTCGACTGATTCGGAGTGAGACCTCTGCTGTTAAACTGGAGCCGGTCATAAGCACACTGCCCAGGTATGGGAAACTCTCCACTCTCTCCACAACTGCCCAATCACCGATTGAGAGTTGTGGGGGTGGAGTGTCCAATGGTACAAAATACCCAGGCAGGTGCTTAGTTTTGGTGGGGCTGATGGTAAGGCCCCATCTCTTAGTGGCACGCTCCAGTCTCAGCAGCAGCGTCTCCAACTCCTCCTCTGAATGAGCAGCTAATACCAAATCATCGGCATACATAACGTGGTTGAGCAATAGGGAGCCATCCCTTGACCGCACCCGGGCATCGATCAGCCCCTCATTATATCTGTACCAAATGGAGATTCCCCCGGTACAGCTATTGAAGGCTTAACGAACTACGTAGTCAAAATTGATGTTAAATAATGTGGGAGCCAGAGGACATCCCTGTCGCACCCCAAGGTGTACAGGTAATGGCTCTGACTCCCGGCCACGTAGTTTTACCCGGGCCGGCTCACCATCATGAAGGTCCTTAATGATCGTGAGCAGAGGGTCAGGGACTCCAAAAGCACGAAGAACAAGGTCAATAAAGCAGAGATGTAGGTCTTGTTGGAATTCCCTACACCTCTGCTGTAGCAGACGGACAGAAAATATGGCATCTGTGCAGGACCGCCCTTTCCTGAAACCACATTGGGGCTCCGCAAGCCTCTCCTCAGCGTGCCTGGCAAGGCGATGTTGAATAATCCTTGCCAGGACCTTTCCCGGCACACTGAGGAGTGAGATGCTCCTGTAGTTGTTACAGTTTTTGCGGTCCCTCTTCTGCCAATCCTGCGGAACCCATCCAGTGGTCCAGACTGTTGTTATGATGTCATATAGGGCAGTCTGTGCACAAACGCCACCCTCCCTCAGCATTTCGCTTGGGAGATCATCTCTACCCGGTGCCTTTCCTGGTCTCAGACTCCGGATCACCTTCAGTACTTCCTCAACAGATGGCACCTCAGCCAGCCACTCACAGGGGGTGACTTCTTCCAATATTTGAGGCACTGCAGCCTCAGCAGGATCATCCCCACTTCGTGCCACGATGTTTTCCTGGCTGATGGATTTCCCCTCCCCCAGGACCTCACAGAAATGCTCAGCAAATCTGCAAACCTGTTCCTGGGGGTCAGAGATTGGATCACCGTTTTTTCCCCTAATGATGGTAATAGGTGTGGCGCTGCAGGTTACTTTTTTGATGGAGTTAAATAGAGATTTGTGATCGCGGGCCACTGAGGCAGACTCCATCTCCTCAGCAACCTGCGACCACCACCCATCATTGCAGCGCCTCACGGCTCTCCGAACCTCCGAGCGAAGGCTGTGGTAAGCCTCCTCATTCTCTGACGTGGGATTCTGTATCCGATGACAGTGGGCCTGTCGCTTTTTCTCAACCAACCTCAACACCTCCTCTGTCAGCCAGGGTCTCTGGGGAGGTCTGGACCACGTACCCAAAGCAGCCATTGCAGCTGCATGAGTCACAGTCCTAAACCTCGCCCATTTACCCTCGACATCAGGAGGAGTGGGGGACAATGCCAACCCCAGCCGCAAGCAATGATGAAATTCTCACTTGCAACTTTCATCAGATAACTGAGACCAGGCCACTTTAGGTTGGAATGGGGTCCTGGGTGTACACCCACCACCGGAGTGGAAGAATGGCAGGTGCATCTTACAGATGACTAGTCGATGGTCAGAGGGCAGATCAGCTCCACGGTAGGTCCTGGTGTCAAGGACATGGGCTCGCATCCGCTGGTCCGTCACTATGTAGTCCAGCAGATGTTCTTGCTTGGACCCGGCATGCATCCATGATGTTGTGTGGATGCGCCGATGCCGGAACAGCGTGTTTGTAATTACAAGCCCATGGGCTGCACAAAAATCTAGCAGCCTCCTACCGTTGTTATTGAGCTGATCTGGCCCATGCCCTCCAATCACTCCAGACCAGGTGCCAGCATCATGACCAACTCGGGTATTGAAGTCACCCAACAAGATGACTCTATCCTGAGGGGCCACTTTAGCCAGCACCTGTGGCACGAGGTCATAGAAGGCATCTGACTCATCGGCTTTGCTGCATCCCTCCACGGATGTTCGTCTTCGGAGGGGGCATAAATAACCACGAACACCACTCCTCTCCTCCGGTTGATGGGAAGGCGAGCCCAAAGTAGCCTGGGGCTTACAGCTTCCCACACCTCACCGCCACGCTCCCACGCCCCCTTCATTCTTTTGTTCAAAAGAAGAGCCACATCCTGTTGTTTGGCAGTCTGTTGCCCCGAGTAGAGGACTGTCCACCCCTCATGGTGGCAGGAGCCAGAACCGGTCCACCGGACCTCCTGAATGCCACAGAGATCCAGGCGGTACCGGTCCAGCTCCCGACAGAGGAGTGGCAGCCTCTCCTCCGCAGTGAGCGTTCGAACATTCCACGTGGCCACACGAAGTGGCTTTTCGTTGTTTCTGGAGGAGCCCCGAGTGTAGAGATTCAATCTCCTGGCTCCGCCAATTGGAGTTTGGCCAGGAGACGTCATAAATGCCTGTCCCCCCGGGGCCTCCGGCACAAGCTTATTAGTTACATATTTCAGTCGTGGTTTAGTGGTAAAATTTTGAAGGTGGAGGGGTTACCAGCCCCTCGCACCCATCCAGAGCCCCCCGTTTAGCCACTGTGGTGGTCACAGACGCCATGAGGGGAGTAGCCAATCGGAATTGGCCCTCCCCCCACAGCACTGTCCACGACAGAGTTGCCCATCCGGCACTGCGAGGAGTTAGCGGGTTGTTTTGCCGTGTACTCACCCACACACACAGACACACCCACACACAGACACCCACACACTCACACACAGACACCCACACACATATACACCCACACACACAGACACCATTACACAGCATGCACTCCACTCACGGGCTTGATGTCACCGTGTACGATGCCCCGGGACTTGGTGTGGGCCAGGAAGTGGAGGATGGCCCTAGTGTACGACCTCACCGCATCCTCGTGACTTTGCCACAGCGTCATCTGTCTGAGCACGCAATGGAGTTTCGCCCTGCCACGCGGAGAGACAGCGACCATGTCAGTCACGTCAGCGACGACGTCAGCGACGACGTCAGTGACATCAGCGGTTAGCGTGCTGCGCTGCGAACCTGGCGAACTGGGCTCGGTTCCCGCTCATGGCCAACACCCAGTGACGATTATCTGAACCGGTCCTGGGTCTACCCTAGGTCGACTCAGCCTCAAATGAGTACCTGGTGCGATGTGTAAACATCGCCACTGGGGAGACAAAGGCGGCCGCGCGTGGTGTTGGCCACCCACCCCCTCGTGTGCCGTGCCGGCCTTTAAAGGTGCTCGCTAACAGCACTTGCCACTACAGTCTGTTAAGGCTATATGGGGGATCTTTGATCTTTGTGTGCGTATGTTGAAATTCATTCACACCGTACGTAGCCAAGCATGCTAATGTGTGGGTCTCTATGGGTGTCTGTGTGGGTGTCTCTGTGGGTCTCTATGGGTCTCTGTGGGTCTGGGGGTCTGTGGGTCTCTGTGTGTGAATGTATGCAGAACTTCTTTTGCACCATACATAGCCAACCGTACTAATGTATGGGTATGGGTGTCTCTATGGGTCTGTATGGGTGGTGGTGTTGTGGTGGTGGTGTTTGGTGGTGGTGGTGTTTGGTGGTGGTGTTTGGTGGTGGTGGGTGCTGGTGGGTGATGGTGGATGGGTGGTGGGTGGGTGGTTATGGTGGGTGGTTGGGTGAGGGGTTGTGCTGGTGATGGTGGGTGGTTGAGTGGGTGGTGTGGTGGTGATGGTGGGTGGGTGGTGGAGGGTGAGTGGGTGAGTGGTGTGGTGGTGAGTGAGTGGGTAAGTGGTGGTGGTGAGTGAGTGAGTGGGTGAGTGGTGGTGGTGGTGGGTGAGTGGTGGTGGTGGTGATGGTGAGTTAGTCGGTGGTGGTGGTGAGTGAGTGGGTGGTGGGTGAGTGAGTGAACGAGTGAGTGGGTGAGTGAATGTTGGTGGTGAGTTAATGAGTGAGTGAGTGGTGGTAGTGGTGCTGGTGGTGTGCGTACTTCAACAGCTCCATGACAAGGCATTTGTGGCCTCGAAAGTAGAAAGTCTCCAGGACCCTGACTACGTTGTAGTCCACGTTGCTACGGTCGCTCTGGAGCTCCATGGACATTAGCAGCTCCGTTCTCTGGTGCTTTTCTTCCCTGGAGCTGCGAGCGAGTGAGCAAGTTCACAGAACGAGAGAGAGAAAGAAAGAGAGACAGATAGAGAGAAAGAGACATAAAGAAACAGAGATCAAGACAGAGACAGACAGAGAGAGACAGACAGAGACAGAGAGTTTAGACTTTAATATACAGTGGGTCTGTGTGTGGAACACTGAGTAGTAGTAGTGGGTCTGTGTGTGGAACACTGAGTAGTAATAGTGGGTCTGTGTGTGGAACACTGAGTAGTAGTAGTGGGTCTGTGTGTGTAACACAGAGTAGTAGTAGTGGGTCTGTGTGTGTAACACTGAGTAGAAGTCGTATTGGATCTGTGTGTGTAACACTGTGTAGTAGTAGTGGGTCTGTGTGTGTAACACTGAATAGTAGTAGTGGGTCTGTGTGTGTAACACTGAGTAGAAGTCGTATTGGATCTGTGTGTGTAACACTGTGTAGTAGTAGTGGGTCTATGTGTGTAACACTGAGTAGTAGTAGTGGGTCTGTGTGTGTAACACTGAGTAGTAGTGGGTCTGTGTGTGTAACACTGAGTAGTAGTAATGGGTCTGTGTGTGTAACACTGAGTAGTAGTAGTGGGTCTGTGTGTGTAACACTGAGTAGTAGTAGTGGGTCTGTGTGTGTAACAGTGAGTAGTAGTAATGTGTCTGTGTGTGTAACACTGAGTAGTAGTAGTGGGTCTATGTGTGTAACACTGATTAGTAGTAGTGGGTCTGTGTGTGTAACACTGAGTAGTAGTAATGGGTAATGCGTAGTTGGTCTGTCGCTATCAATATTATCCACAATAGAGGTGAGTTTGGGTTATATGACGTAAATATAAATGTTGTGTCATTAAACCCGCCACACTGACACACGCCCAATTGGTTGAGGTGGTTTGTCACCTAAACACAAAACGCTTGGCCAGCTCGTTACTTGCTCAGCACTTAACCGGTTGTTGTGTTGGAAAGTGTCAAAGTCAATTGTCAGTGTTGTGGTGGGGTTCGTCTCCAACACACAACCAGTGGTGGCGGTGGTGGTGAGGGTGGTGGGGAGGTGGTGGTGGGGTGGGAGTGTCGCTGTGGAGGTGGTGGTGGGGAGGTGGTGGTTGAGCGATGGAGATTCAAGTAAAGGATGTTCAGTCATTGTTTGTTGTTGTGGTTCACAGCCAGCAGCAGTCCCATAGTGTGTGTTTGTTTATTGTTCTTGTTATTGGTGGTGTTATTGTTGTTGTTGACTGCACTGCTGCGCCAGGGCCCACTCACGTGGAGGGCGAGGCGAGGATCTTGAGAGCCACCATCGTCCGAGTCTTGTGGTCCAGACACCTCACCACCACGCTCTGCCCACCCTGCCCAATCTTCCTGTCCAGCTGGAAGCGGTAGTAGAAGTGCTCGTTCTGGACCTGCAGGGGTCACGGGAGGTCAGGGTGGGGGTCACGAGGAGGTCACATGTAGCCAACAGTGCTAATCTGTGGGTCACTGTGGGTGTCTGTGGGTGTCTCTGTGCGTCTCTATGTGTCTGGGTGTCTCTGTATGTGTGTATGTTGAACTTCTTTCGCACTGTACGTAGCCAACCGTGCTAATCTGTGGTGCTTTATGGGTATCAGTGTCTCTGTGTGGGCCTTCATGATAGTGAACAGGCCCGGGTAAAACTACGTGGCCGGGAGTCAGAGCCATTCCCTGTACACCTTGGGGTGTGACAGGGATGTCCTCTGGCTCCCACATTATTTAACATCTATTTTGACCACATAGTTCGTGAAGCCTTCAATAGCTGTACCGGGGGAATCTCCATTTGGTACAGATATAATGGGAGGCTGATCGATGCCCGGGTGCGGTCAACGGATGGCTCCCTATTGCTCAACCACGTTATGTATGCCGATGATTTGGTAATAGCTGCTCATTCAGAGGAGGAGTTGGAGACGCTGCTGCTGAGACTGGAGTGTGCCACTAAGAGATGGGGCCTTACCATCAGCCCCACCAAAACTAAGCACCTGCCTGGGTATTTTGTACCATCGGATACTCCACCCCCACAACTCCCAATCGGTGATGGGGCAATTGTGGAGAGAGTGGAGAGTTTCCCATACCTGGGCAGTGTGCTTATGACCGGCTACAGTTTAACAGCAGAGGTCTCACTCAGAATCAGTCGGGCGGCAATATATTTTCATCGGTTGTGTAACGCTGTGTGGAAGCTACCTGGTCTGTCGCTCCGCACTAAGCTTCAGGTCTTCTCGGCCACGGTCATTCCCTCCCTTCTCTACACTTGCGAAACGTGGACCCCCCAAATGGAACATCTTCGCCGGTTAGAAACATTTAGGCTAGCCTGCCTACGATCCATCATGGGTTTAACCAGGCTGGATTGTGTGAGGAGCTCACAAATCATTGAAAGATCTGGGCAAGGTCCCATCGGTGAGCTCCTCCGGCAGGCAAGGCTGCGTTGGATGGGTCATGTAGCCCGCATGCCCAGCCAACGCATGCCGAAACAGATTTTATTCGGCCGGATCAAGGGGGCTAAACGGGCGCAGCACGGGCTAGAGAAGAGATGGAGTGATGTGGTACAGGAGGATGCGGTGTCAAGATCAGCCTCTGTGGAGGAGGCTCGTGAAGGACGCTACTGGGAAGTTGGAGGCAGCCGCCCTCCAACAACAACGGAGGGCGGAGGAGCGACGGTCACAACAATGAGCGGAGCGCCGGGTGGCTAAAGCACAGCAGGATGGCACAGTAGGGGGCACAGGTGGTGCATCAGCCAGTCATCTCAGACAGTCGTCCCGTGGAACCTGGGTCTACCCCGTGACCTCCTGGCAGCGGGCGTTCAACACTTCACGTGGCCTCAAGGTGCACCTGGCCTGGCACAAGCGTTGTGGTGACGTCACCGCCACTTAGTGGCGAATGGCGGTTGTTGTTGTTGTGTCTGTGTCTTTGTGTGTGTCTGTGAGTCTCACAAGGATGTAGTTGTTGTCGTCGTCGTCAAATTCTCCGTTCTTCACTCCCCCTCGTGAGCTTCCTTCCCCGTCCAGAGTGAAGAACCAAACTTCCTGCATGGTGGCCAGCTCCAGCTTCTGGCGCTCAGTCAAGTGAGGCTTGAAGAGACTCAGGATCGCTGCACACGTGACAACAATAACAACTTAAACTATAAACTAATTTTATTTACGCACACACCGGGTTAAGCCCCCCACCGAAGTGACTGGTATCATCATCCTAATCGTCGTCATCATCGTCATCATCATTATCATCATTGTCATCATCGTCGTCGTCATCATTATCATTGTCATCATCGTCGTCATCGTCATCATCGTCGTCATCATCGTCATCATCATCGTCGTCATCTTCATTATCATCATCGTCATCATCATCGTTGTCATCGTCGTCATCATCGTCATCATCATCGTCGTCATCGTCGTCATCATCATCATCGTCAACATCGTCATCAACGTCATCGTCGTCGTCATCATCACCGTCATCATCATCGTCACCATCGTCGTCATCACCATGTGGGAGCCATTTGCTCTAAGTGCACGTTGATACAGACTTATAGAGACTCATAGAGAACCACAGAGATCCTCAGAGACCCACAAAGAACCATACTCATATAGAACCATAGAGACCCAAGGAGACCCATAGAGCCCCACAGAGATGCACAGAGACCCTCATAGACCCACAGAGACCCATACTCATATAGAACCAGAGACCCACAGAGACCCACTCATATAGACCATAGAGCCCCACAGAGATGCATAGAGACCCTCATAGACCCATACTCATATAGAACCAGAGACCCACAGAGACCCATATTCATATAGAACCATGGAGACCCACAGAGACCCACACAGAACCATACTCATATAGAACCATAGAGACCCAAGGATACCCATAGAGCTCCACAGAGACGCAGAGACCCTCAGAGACCCACTGAGACCCATATTCATATAGAACCAGAGACCCACAGAGACCCATACTTATATAGAACCATAGAGCCCCACAGAGACGCACAGAGACACTCATAGACCCACAGAGACCCATACTCATATAGAACCATAGAGACCCACAGAGACTGCCACTCATATAGAACCAGAGACCCACAAAGACCTATACTCATATAGAACCATATAGACCCACAGAGACCGATACTCAGAGACCCACGGAGCGGTACAGGGTGCGTGTACGGATGATGAACTTCGTTCGCACTGCACGTAGCTAACCGTGCTAAGGTATGGGTCTCTGTGGGTGTCTATGGGTGTCTCTGTGGATCTATGGTTCTTTGTGGGGTGTATCTGTGTGTTTATGGGTCTCTATGGGTGTCTCTATGTGTCTTTGGAGTCTCTTTGGGTATCTCTGTGTGTCTATGGGTCTCTATGGGTGTCTCTATGTGTCTATGGGTATATCTGTGAGTCTCTATGTGTCTATAGGTGTCTCTGTGGGTCTAAGGGTCTCTATGGGTGTCTCTGTGGGTGGCTGGGTGTCTGTGGGTCTCTATGTGTGTCTCTGTGGGTCTCCGTGGTGGTCACTGCGTGGATTTGTTCCCCTTCACATTTTGAGGAATCACCATCGTCACGCTTTTATCAAAGTGTTTTTTCGCTGCTGCTGTGCATTTCCAGGCGATGACAATGATGATGATTTGATGATATCAGGCCACTTGGTTGAGCTGCTGCTATTTGAGCTGCTATCATTCTTAGACTTTGATGATTTTCCTGCTCATCTCTCTCTCTCTCTAACCTTTGGGTGATTTGCTGCGGATTAATCCGGTGCCGGAGGTGAACGCGCTCCACGTGGTGATAGACGGAGGCTGCCTCCCACTCGGTCCAGCTCGACTTGTCTACACACACACATAAACACACACACACGTACAAAGACAAAGATCCCCCGTATAGCTTGTAACAGACTGTTGGGGAAAGTGCTTATAGCGAGCCCCTATGAAGCCCAGCATGGCACACGAGGGGGTAGGTGGGCAGCACCATGCCCGGCCGCCTTTGTCTCCACAGTGGCGATGTCTACACACCACACCAGGTACTCATTTGAGGCTGAGTCGACCTACGGGAGGCCCAGGACCGGTTCAAATAATCGTCACTGGTGTTGGCCATAAGCGGGAATCGAACCCGGGTTGCCAGGTTCGTGGCAGTGCGCAAACTGCTACACTACCGCTCCCCACATACACATAAATAAAAAATAAAGATCCCCTATATAGCCTTAACAGACTGTAGGGGGCAAGTGCTGTTAGCGAGCACCTATGAAGGCCGGAACGGTACACGAGGGGGTGGGTGGCCAGCACCACGCCCGACCGCCTTTTTCTCCCTAGTGGCGATGTTTACACACCGCACCAGGTACTCATTTGAGGCTGAGTCGACCTAGGGGAGGCCCGGGACCGGTTCAGATAATCGTCACTGGTGTTGGCCGTGAGCGGGAATCGAACCCGGGTCGCCAGGTTCATAGCGCAGCGCGCTAACCGCTACACTATCGCTACACACATACACACACACATAGACAAAGGTGCAGTAGACTCGTCAACACACACACACAAAGACAACGGTCCCCTTGAGGCTGTAACAAAACTGTGTTCAAAGGTGTGGGTGTTTGTAAGTGTGGGTGTTCATAAGTGTGGGTGGTGTTCGTAATTGTGGGTGTTCGTAGGTGGGTAGTGTTCGTAAGTGTGGATCTTTGTAAGTGTGGGTGGTGTTCGTAAGTGTGGGTGTTCGTAGGTGGGTAGTGTTCGCAAGTGTGGATCTTTGTAAGTGTGGGTGGTGTTCGTAAGTGTGGGTGTTCATAGGTGTGGGTGGTGTTCGTAAGTGAGGATGTTCGTCAGTGAGGGTGTTCGTCAGTGAGGGTGTTGGTGTGGTGTTTGTAAGTGAGGGTGTTCATCAGTGTGGGTGGTGTTTTGTAAGTCCTGGTGTGGTTCATATGTCGAGCAAAAGGGGTCACGCATACCATGGCGCTAATTCTGAGAGTAGCGTTGTTGTGCTCCGTAAATATCTCGGTGTCTCTGCGTGGAGAGTGGAGGGGGGGGGGACGGAGGAGAGAGTCAGTGGAGGGCGAGGTCACCGCGATCACAAGTGGACTCACATCGTCAACACGGACTCACACATTCATCACAAACTCACATCCTCACCACGAACCCGCATCCTCACTACGGACTCACACCCTCACCAAAAACCCACAATACAAACCCCATTCACCAAGAACCCACAACACGGATCCACACACTCACCAAGAACCCACAAAACAGACAAACACACTCTTACCACGAGCCCACAACACGGACCCACACACTCACGACGAACCCACAACACGGACCCACACACTCACCACGAACCCGCAACACGGACCCACACACTTCCCACGAACCCACAACACGGACCCACACACTCACCACGAACCCACAACACGAACCCACACACTTACCACGAACCCACAACACGGACCCACACACTCACAAAGAACCCACAACACAGACAAACACACTCTTACCACGAACCCACGACACGGACCCACACACTCACCATGAACCCACAACACGGACCCTTACACTCACCAAGAACCCACAACACAGACAAACACACTCTTACCACGAACCCGCAATACGGAACCACACTCTCACCACGAACCCACAATACAAACCCACACTCACCAAGAACCCACAACACGGATCCACACACTCACCAAGAACCCACAACACAGACCAATAGATTCACCACGAACCCGCAACACGGACCCACACACTCACCACGAACCCACAACATGGACCCACACACTCACCACGAACCCACAACACAGACCAACACACTCACCAGGAACCCGCAATACGGACCCACACTCTTACCACGAACCCACAACACGGACCCACACACTCACCACGAACCCACAACACGGACCCACACTTTCACCACGAACCCACAATACAAACCCACACTCACCAAGAACCCACAACACGGACCCACACACTCACCAAAAACCCACAACACAGACCAATACATTCACCACGAACCCGCAACACGGACACACACACTCACCACGAACCCACAACACGGACCCACACACTCACCACGAACCCACAACATGGACCCACGCACTTCCCACGAACCCACAACACGGACCCACACACTCAACACGAACCCACAACACGGACCCACACACTCACCACGAACCCACAACACGGACCCACGCACTCACCACGAACCCACAACACGGACCCACACACTCACCACGAACCCACAACACAGACCAACACACTCACCAGGAACCCGCAATACGGACCCACACTCTTCCCACGAACCCACAACACGGACCCACGCACTCACCACGAACCCACAACACAGACCAACATACTCACCACGAACCTGCAACATGGGCCCACACACTCACCACGAATCCACAACACGGACTCATACACTCACCACGAACCCACAACACGGACCCACACACTCACCACGAACCCACAATACAAACCCACACTCACCAAGAACCCACAACACGGATCCACCCACTCACCAAGAACCCACAACACAGACCAATACATTCACCACGAAGCCACAACACGGACCCACACACTCACCACGAACCCACAACACGGACCCACACACTAGACCACGAACCCACAACACGGACCCACACACTCTTACCACGAACCCACAACACGGACCCACACACTCACCACGAACCCACAACACGGACCCACACACTCACCACGAACCCACAACACGGACCCACACACTCACCCCGAACCCACAACATGGACCCACACACTCACCACGAACCCACAACACGGACCCACACACTCACCACGAACCCACAACACGGACCCACACACTCACCACGAACCCACAACACGGACCCACACACTCACCACGAACCCACAACACGGACCCACACACTCACCACGAACCCACAACATGGACCCACACACTCACCACGAACCCAGAACACGGACCCACACACTCACCACGAACCCACAACACGGACCCACACACTCACCACGAACCCACAACACGGACCCACACACTCACCACGAACCCACAACACGGACCCACACTCTCACCACGAACCCACAACACGGACCCACACGCTCACCACGAACCCACAAAACCGACCCACACACGTACCACGAACCCA